TCCTGATACCTCTTGTACCTACCTCCCCACCTCAACAAAACCAGATCCAACTTCATGATTTTGCCATTTTATTCCCCATTCTCTGCTCACCGACTGGCTTCTGTCCCTGGACCCCCAGTCTCAATCAAAAGGACCATTCCTCCTCAGACCTCAAGCCAGAATACCTCTGCTGAAACTTCCCTCCCTCTCACCCCATGGACTGTCTCTTGGGCTATTGCCGATTTTTCACTGTTTCCCTGCCTCTACTGTCTCCTTGACACACAGCCAGAGCACTCTCTTGTTTGAAAACCTTAGAGGCCCTATTATTCCCCTGGCCTTTCCCTTTTTAGCTCTAAGCTTGCCCATAGTTCAGGAAGTTCAGACCACAGGATTGCTGGGAGCTGTTCTAGGTGCAGGGGATAGCACTGGCTTAAACCTGCCGTGCCTGCCCCCGACAGCCACCCAGCCTGAGCATGCTCTGTCATGTCTCTGAGCCTTTTCATGTGCTCTCACCTCTGCCTACCTTGCCCTTTCACCTCAAGGAGAAGCCTCATCAGACTTCTGTCCCTTCCCTGGACCGTGTGGAGGCATGTCGTGCGGTGATTTGTTTGCACATCCGTCTCCCCTCTAGACTGTAGGCTCCAGAGGACTGGATCCCTGTCTGATTCACTTTTTTAAAAATGTATTTCAATTAAATATTGAATAGGTATTTCTAAAGAATGTAAGAGTACTTATAAAATATGTATAAGATGTAAAGGATACAATACAATACAATGAACACCTGTAGACCCACCTTCCATTGTCAGAGACATAGTTTGTTCATACCGTCAGTACCTATCACGGGGCCTAGAACTATTCCAGGGGTCAGCAGGTGTTTGTGAATGACTACATGCCTGAATGAATGAATGAATGAATGTTAGTTTTCTCTGTGAATCTCTCAGCGTTGCTGGGCAAACTCCATGTGAAGTGGTCCCAACTGAATCGTGTTGCTGCCTGAGGTCAGTCCCACCCTGTGAGCTCACTGAACCACTTACACATCTTTCCATTTACTTTGCATATGTTTATTGAGGGCTTGCTCAGTACCAAGAGTGGTGGGAGGACTGGGCTGCAGTGGGGAGCAAAACGTCAGAGACCTTCTCCTAGGGAGCTTCCACTTAACCAGCTCTTCAGAAGAGAAAAAAATAATCCAAAGAGCCCAAAGTGCAGTGCTGCCTACCTGTCCACAGCCTCACTGCGCTCCCGAGAGTGACAATGTGTGACAGTGGTTAAGGACAGGGACTGCAGGCCTTGATAAAAGTCATGATGGCTTTGCAAGTTATATAACTCCTATGTGTAGCAGTTTCCTTGTCTGTAAAATGGGCAAAATGGGTCCTGTCCTGTGGATTTGCTATGAGGCATAAAGGAGTTAATATGTGATAGGTGCCTGGCACACAGTGGGGCTCACAGTAAGGCTCAGTTGGCATCATCACCACCATGGTGAGCAGAGTATTCTGTATGGTGGGACTGGGGGTGCAACCAATAACCAGAGAGGACTCCACTATCATATCTGCAGCTCTCTCCAGCATGAGCTCAGATCCAGGGAAGGGCCGAGTGCCATGCTAGTCACGTGCCATGCCTTGTTTCCTCAGCTCTAACACACTTTTGGGCCACATTTGCTTTTCTGAGTCATGATGTGCCTACAGCCAATCTATTCTGGAAACACCAGTTGTGTGTCCAGTGTGTGCTAGGCACTGTGCTGGGCTCCAGGATGCAGCTATGGAGGTAGCACACAGAGGCCCTGCCCACAGAGCTGACGGTCTAATGCGGGGATCACAGAGGATACACAAAAGCAATACATATGATGAGTTGGAAGGTACTCAATGCCATGGAGAACAAAGAGGCAGGAGAGACAGAAGCTACATTTTATTTTTTTTAAGTTTATTTATTTATTTGTTAGAAATCTGTACACCCAACGTGGGGCTCGAACTCATGCCCAGAGAGCAAAAGTCACATGCTCTTCCAACTAGCCAGGTGTCCCAGAAGCTTCATTTTAAATAGATCAGGGAGAGTGTCCCTGAAAGGATGCCACCAGCGCAAAGACTTGAGGGAGTGCAAATGCCTGCAGATGTGGATGCCCAGAGGAGAGTGGCCTGGCCTAAGGGAAGTAGAAGGAGGGAGGGAGAGAATAGTAGGGGATGGGGCCAGGGGGAAAGGGGCTGTATCTCGTGGGCTTGCAGGGGCCATTGTAAAGCCTTTGGATTTTCTTCTGGGAGGGAAAAGAAGTGTTGGAGGGTTTAGACAGAGGAGGGAAGTGGCTAATTTATGTATGTAGAGGAGTATCCTGGCTGCCATGCAGAGAAGACCACAGAGGGGTGAGTGAAAGCAGCCTGGCTTGTGCAGAACTGAAAAAAAGAGGGGACGGTGGGGAGAGAGGAGGCAGTGGGAGTGGCCAGACTCTGAAGCCAACAAGATTTACTGATGATTGACGTGGATGGGAGAAGAAGGGGTCAGAGATGGCGCCAATGGGAGGCTGGGAAACGCACATATAGGGGAAGATAAGAGCTCAGCTTGGACACTTCAGGTTTGGGATGCCTATGCATATGACATCTCAGTCAAGATGCAGAGTCTGCAGTTAGACCAGTGACAGGTTCAGGGAAGAGGACTGGGCCAGAGACACATATTTGGTAGTTGTCACTGGGAAGTGGGATTTCAAGCCTTGAGTCTGGGTGGGCTTTGAGACCCAGGATCGTGTGTACTCAGAGAAGACCAGGTTCCTCCAGTGTAAGGAGCAGGGTTCTGGGAATGGGAGAGAGTTTAAACAGGTGTGGCCAGGAGGGAGGAGGAAACCTGGGAGAAGGAGGTGTTCCAGAAGGCAAGTGGAAAACTTATCTCAGGAAGGAGGGAGCACTCAGCAGTATCCTGTGGTGCTGCTGAAGTGAGATGAGAGATTGAGAAGGGATTGTTGGATTGATAATGTGGAGGCCATGGTGACTATGACCATAGCGGTTTCTGTAGAAGGGTGTGCAAAAGCCAGGTTGGACTGGGTTGAGAGGAAGGGAGGGGAGGAGCAGAGAAATGGGGCAGTAGCTAAAGGGGAAAGTGGGTCAAAGTTATTTAATTAATTAATTAATTAATTAATTAATTAATTTTGCGGATGGGAGAAGCATGTTTGCATGGTTATTGAAATCATCCAATAGAGAGGGGAAATGGTTGATGAAGGAGAGGAGGTGGTTTGTGAAGGTAAGAAGTGGGCTTTGGGAACAGGAGACTGGCAAATATGGGGGACAGACGTCGAGCGGCTGTGGATGTGCAAATTCTCCTCTAGTAGCTCCCACTTTCTTGGTGAGATGGCATGCAGGTTGTCAGTGACAGTTAAGAGAGGGAGAGACATACTGGAGGCTTGAAGATCATGGAGAAGGGGTGAGGAATCATCCAGGAGGATGGAAAAGAGAAGGGATCGCGGACAAGCAGCTCGATCGCCAGGTGTCTCCTACAGCCACCGTGTTGGTGCGTGCACACGCATCAGGCCCAGGTGCAGGGAGCCCTTGCAGGACAGACTTTGCTGGGCCACAGAAGGCATTGTTTGCTTAGTCATTGTCACTCTGGCTGAGCTGAAAGTTAACTTGAATCTGGATCTCTGTCACACAAATTTTGTCCCCAGAAAGACTACATGGTGATACAACATTGAATTAAAATGCAACTGTGTACACAGAAGATTGCCTGTCACAGACCAGGCAACTCACAGACAGTAGAGATGTCTACATTCCTCAGAAAAAAACTTCAGACCTTACACAGCCTGGGAAAGGGACTGCAGCCCCTCCCTCCACATGGTATAAAGGGCTCTCAGTAGCTTCTGATTAGCTTTCAGGGGCTCC